CAACAACCAGAAGCACATCAATATTACAACTAACCCGTCGCATGATAGAAATACTTTCAATTGAAAGAAAGCGTGGGTAGCGGACGTCATCATTGACAATAGAATCAAAAATTTCTTCCTCATCATCACCAGAAAAGGGAGGCTAAAAAGTTAAGATTAATGAGAAGGCTAAAGAAACTCGAAAAACGTACAAATTAACAGATATATAACACTCCTGATAACTTACTTCCCCAACAAGCATTTCAAAAATCAGTACTCCGAGTCCCCACCAATCAATAGCTCGTGTGTAGCTGTTTTCAGTGAGAACCTAAACGTACAATAACATTTAGAGAGAAATCTGTGGTTACTGCGACAAATAACGAGCCTGAAGTTTACTACGTGAAGTGGCTATAATTTCGAATGGTATGAAATTCAGAATACAAGGCAAAGATTCCAATAATTATTGTATGATAAGACCGATGCATATTCGAATTTGAAAACATGGCTTTCCAACTATCAAAATCGGCTGTGAGGCAGCCTTCTAAATTAGCATAAAATCAAACTATCAGATTATCGAAAACGTCGCTTAAACTATTAAATATAAATATGTTTAAAGTCTAATAAAAACAACCATCTAAAAATGATAACAAACTTCAGGTGCCAAAAACTCTGGTGTGCCACAAAACGTAGATGTGCGATCAGTAGCGCCCATCCCTTCTTTACATAAACCAAAATCCGCCAGCTTGACATAACCCTCCTTATCCAAAAGAAGATTATCCAGCTTAAGATCCCTAAAAAAAACGATTTCAACAAATATAGTTTTTTATAGTAGTCTGATCTGGTCACAAGAGACTCACTAGCAAAACCTACGAACCATAGTCTAAACAATTTACTTTGCAAGAACCGACTCTCACCTATATATAATTTTGTTCGCATGCAGATATTCAAGCCCCAAAAGAACACATGCTGCATAGAAGCAGCTTCGCTCCTCAGTGAAAATATCGTCGTGTATATGGCGCATAAGGTCTCCA